CCAGTCGCTCGACCCGAGCGCCTCTAGCCCAACTCGCATCCGACGGCACCGCAGCTTTTCTCATTTCTGTCACCATCCCACAGACACGCAGCCCCAGCACTTTCCGCCTCCATCGTTGCGAGAAGAATGCAGCCCATGGTCATGCTGACTCTCCTCCAGACAGCGATTCAAGACTGGTCTTGCTGTGCCACCCGCTCTCTTCACCGCCGCCTGGGCCTATCTCTGGGAGCCTTTGCTGAACGATCGTTGGGATAATCGCCAGTTCATTCCACCAAATTAACAACCATCTTCCTATACCACGGAATCTGCTGTCCAGATGCAGGTGCTCGACGCCATCCAATCCGTGGAACCAGTGGAATACTACCAGGACGACGATCATTTCTCCAAATCACCACTCTTGGAAGCTCGTGTTGTAAAGGCAACACCATCTCCGACGCCGCAGCCACACGTGACACCAGTCATCCGTCACCTACCCAACCGACAGAGTGTCAGTCCTCCTCAATCTCGAAATCGGAAAAGGCCTAACAAACACAAGCCCCGAACTCGCCCCACCCAAGGGGACTGGGTGCTCATTCGTGAGATGGACCCAAACCGGCCAGACATTGCACAAAAAGCAAGCGAGCAGGCCTTGAACTCCGACTCTGATTCGCACTGCTCTGAGGATGACGACATGCCTGATGCCGACTCTCCCGGCACGGCAACGGCACCGTCCGTCTCCAACAATGGCCAGCCAGTGCCACCAAATGCTCGTCCTGCCAAATCAGCACCTGCTCTGCAGGAAGTGCTTAGCTCAGCACCTGATTCAAAAGCGACAGCTACCCACAGAGACTCAGTGATCGAAGACGAAACTACTAGGCCTTTTGGATTTGCAGCAGATAGGCGCACATCTCAAGCTTCAGCAATTCATGTAGCACCAAACGGCGTGCATCCCAGTTCAAATGGAATCGATCGAACACTGTCTATATCGTCCGCCTTGTCGAACGCATCGTTGTACCCACCAAGCCAGCCACCTCGAGGCTTGCCCAATGGCCATCCCCAAGGCAACGATCCAGCACCATCTCTCGGTCTAACAATTCCGCAAAGGGGAGGACTTCCAGCAGACACACTGCCTGCGTTACAAGCCCCATCTCCTGCGCGTGATGGAGCAGCTACTTCGCCTAGCCAGCAGCTACCTTCGTTCCGTCACATCGATGATATCGCGAGATCAGCAACAAATGACCACGAAGCAACGAGAGCAAACAGTATCAGCTTCCCTCATCGACAATCGGTCTCCTCAGTAGGAGCGTCACCAACATCCATGGTTCGCCAATTGTCCATGAGTTCTCATTCTCCAGCCACATCGTTCCCTTCGCTAAGTGCGTCATCGCCAATGAGTGCCCACGATTTACCACATCGTGTCGATCTGTTCCTCCGGACCTCAGGAGGAGGCGCATTTGGCACGGATGCTCGGAGACCTTCGCACGCTGCGTCAGACAACAGTCCTTACACAGCGACATTGCACTCTGCATCGACGAGCGACAGCTACCAAAGCTCGGAAGGTATCAGCCCTGGTACACAGCAAACGCCCATTGAGCAAAGACCTCGACATATGAGTCTAGATGGCGCGCTTGCGTCGAGGGTCCTGCCACCTCCACTTGGCTCTGGTCTACAACAAAATGTGACTCAGCACATCGTTGGATCCTTCAAGTGCGATTATCCAGGTTGCACCGCTCTTCCTTTTCAGACACAGTACCTTCTTAAGTAAGTTAAGACTTGAGTATCCTCGGTATCATATGGTCTGGTATGCTGACCTCTTCAGTTCCCACACCAACGTGCATTCCTCAAACCGCCCACACTACTGTCCAGTGAAAGACTGTCCTCGAGGCGAGGGCGGCAAAGGCTTCAAACGAAAGAACGAGATGATAAGACATGGGCTTGTGCATCAATCGCCTGGTTATGTGTGCCCGTTTTGTCCGGATCGCGAACACAAATATCCGAGGCCGGATAATCTGCAGAGGTACGCACTCACGTTGAAACGTTCGAACAACGTGGAACTAACGAATATCACAGACATGTACGCGTACACCATACCGATAAAGACAAAGACGACCCGCAACTTCGAGACGTCCTTGCGCAGCGGCCTGAAGGCGGTAGTCGGGGACGAAGAAGACGTGTGAGCGACTCTGGTCACTGAAACCACCCTTTTACTTCGACCTTCACCTCTTCGACTTTCACTCGATCTTCTTTGAGCCACGTCGCAACGCCGTTCAATTCGTTTCTCGTCTCGGCAACTCCCTTACACATCTTCTTCTTTCCCTCTTCTTCTGGCGCTTAGCGATGCTTTGGCGTTAACGGGGCGGTGCGGTATGGGAAGTTACGATTGGGAGGCACGATTTTGAAGGCGCAGGCAAACCCGCCTTTTAGGGCGAAGGAACGGATACGAATTCTTGTAATCCTATTGAGCATCTTACCTTTCTTTGGCTTCCTATCCTTCGCTCGATTTGTTCTACTTTTAGCGACTTTACCTCGGCTTACTATAATCGTTAGTATAGTAATCTTTTTCAACATGTGTTGCATGATGGAATTGCTGTATTGTGTGCGTGTGCTGGCATCGGGCCTAGGTACAAGGGTCTTACACACTTCGAGCTGCATTTCCGTGGTACCGAATGCTTCAGGCCCGCACATAACACGACCACTTTTTGACTGTAATGGTATGTATGCGTAAAAGACTCATTTTAGTACATCTTCCCTCTGATGGGTGACTCACATTCTGTGTGCGAAAACCTCGAAATCTGGTTCCATCCCATCTCACGGTACTGCCATGACCCATAAACGACGAGTGACTCACGACTCCCAATAGACATACACAATGCCTGAATCTCCCAATAAATAGCGACGTTCCCTCTGATAAGTGCAACATCGTTTCTCACCCGTGGACACACCAAAACTCCACAAATCCGAACTACCTAGGTACCCGCGCAACACTATGAGCCCGATCTCGGCAAGCAGGAAGCGTAAGGCCCACCCGGGAGTGGGCGAGGTTTGCAACTACATAGCCGCGGTAAACGATGAGCACACGCGGAAGAAGATCAGGAGAGACGACGATGGAGGCTCACCGCACATGGCCACTATCCCAACAGGCACGAGACGTACCCGCGAACTACCGCTGACCAACATGCGAGCATTTTGCGAGCCTCACAACCGCCATCTAGAAACCCATGAGATCGATAGGCTGCGCGGCCTACAAAACGCAATAGACAAAGCCATGGCCGGTACCGGCGAATCTTTGAATATTACGACCAACGTACCCAAATCCATCTATCTCAGCGCGCAACAAAGAAGAACACTCAGGATAGCACAGGAGGTGATGGACAGAGCAAATTTCAAGATGAGAAAGGAGAAACATGGAGAGAGGGCAATTGCTATCAAGAATATTACCTCATCTCCTCAGCGTATCGACGCTCGTCCTTCGCGGAATGATGCTGGCTGGAGTGTTCTCACACTGCCGGTCTTGCACGCTGCAGGCACTCTAAAGACGGCGCTTTTCGCAAAAGCTATGTTGAGGGAGGTCAACAGGTTACTGGCGGAGAAAGAGGGGTTGAAGGTGAGGATTTCGCTTGCGTGGAGTGATCGTGAGACGACGGGTTGGAAGTTGAGGGATGAGGAACATGGGATATGATGGCACCTGGGCACGGATTGGTCACAGACCTGCCTAGGTACGGAGGAGGATCTTTTGTTGTTGCAAGCACGGAATGGAGACAGAACGGAATCACCTGAGCAGTCCACTATTAACTCGAAGCATGCGTTGCACCGGCACCTCATACAAGGGAACAACTGAACACCCTATAGCCTACATCAAGACCAAAATATGCAAAGTAGGTGGCATGACGTTAACGTAGGCTCCAGGTGTTTAGTCTCTCCCTTGTATGAGGTGCCGGTGGGAGCCACCGTTACCGAATATCTCTCCCCCAATGTACACAACCAAAGTTCCCTCGCGAAAAGACCCCTCGGGCTCGAACGCGAAAGACAGAGAAGGTGCTGGTGGGGATTTGATGCAGTAAGGGGTGGGACCGAACGTGCCGTAACTGAAATCGGCATCGCGCATCTCCTCACCAGCACTCGCGGCACCTGAGCAAGGTTGCAAGCAGTCCGAACGAACACACAACATACGACTAATGCCATCTATGTCAATCGCAATCGAAGCTGAAGTTGATGATCGAGGAGCGTGGAGATAACCTTGGGCTCAGCTGAGAAAAAGAAACGACGAGGAGACGCTTGTAGTTTCCAGGGTTGCTCACAGCGACATCTCGCGATGAGCTGCGCGGGGTTTCAATGCGCCAACGCGGCTCAGCGTATGTATTGATAAGCCTGCGTCCGCAGAGCCCGAGAGGAGAGCCCGTTCATACATTCATAAAGAAGAATTCTCGCTTTTAGATTCCATATCGAACATCTGTTCAATTGCTCATTTCCCAGCCACCTCGTGCCCCTCGTTCCTTCTCGTGCGGACTCGTTAGCGTGTCTAACACGTGAACCTCTCAACGCGTATCCCCAGGGACAGCGCGTCGCCTCAAATACTGGATGAGATAGAAGGTTCTCAGTCAACGGGAATCTTTTGTCCATAAGAAAGTTTGGGTGACTTACGGCAATTTTTCAAACGCCTCACTTCAACAGCCTACTTTAACAAAACGATATGAAGAACGGCACCATTCTAAGCTGGCTGCGGCGAGAGCAACCCACGCGAAGTCAGACGAAGGCAATGCCTATTTCCTCCCAGACAGCTTCGAATGGCCACGTTTCGAAGCCAAAGGCGGAGAAGATACCACTCGCTGCAAGAATCACTCGAAGTGCAACTGCTGCTCAGAAAGTACCAATCGCTGCAAGAGTCACCCGAAGTGCAACTACCGCACACAAGAAGGCAGGCGGCAATGCGGCGCCATGTGGTCGAGGAAAGGACAAGAAACCAAGGAGGAGGCGGACGAAAGCGCAACTAAAATACGAAAAACTTCAACGCGCGAGGAACGATGCTGGTGCTGCTGAAGCAGTCGAACACACCTGCCCAGAAGAGAACGCCAATACATTGCCATTACCAGTTGTGATGAATGCCCCAGGGGCACGCCTTCCTGCCCAAGTAGCATCGGAAAGCAGCAACAACAACCCACCACCTGCTCTTTTCACCGCACCACCACTCACCTCAGTATCTCGCCCACATCTACTCGAAACCAGACTTCAACAACAGCTCTTAGAGGAAGACAAGCAGCCGCGGGCCAGAGAAGTAAGAATACCCAAGCAACGGACTACGATGACAAGCAAGAGAGCAGCCAGGAGGCAGCGCAAAGCCCGGAAGGCCCGCGAAGAGGCCCGTGAAGAAGCCCTCGTCTTCATCAAGAGCGAGTCCGTCGACGGTTCCCAAGACACACCGCGCAACTTCGCCTACGGTGCTTCAACCGGATCGTCCTCGTACCAGCACTCGAGCTCTCCCGCGCGTCAGCCATGGGCTGCGCCGAAGCGGAACAGCATCATCGACCTAATCAGACTATGCACCTACCCCGGTCAAACAATCCACCCAAACTCCGTCAACCGACTCTTCATCCTCCAGCGAGACATCGACGCCGCTATGGACGGCCAGGGTCGTCACGTATGGATTCTACGAAGGCTCCCACGCGACATCACCTTGACGGTGGAACGAAAGGAAGCCATCTGGCTGGCACAAGGGAAGATCAATCGGGTCGTGGATGAACGAGGACGCTCACGCAGACGACTGAAGCTCGATCGATACGTTCCAGCCGATCGCTGGGTTTCAATCGATCGCTACATTCCCGGCATGCCGTACCCTCTTCCTCTGCGCTCGCACGCCATGCCGCGCATGAGGGTATTTTCGAGATCATATGCGTAGCGACGCGGACATGGACTTGTTAATTTCTCTCTGGAGAACAACCACGAAGTGTTGCGATACGGTAGACACGCACAGGATACTACAGGGCGTGTCCGTGTTCGCTTTCAGAGTGGCACATGAGAGTCAGGCAGGCTTCACGTCTCTTCAGGTCTTCTTTGTCATCATCGCAGGAGGTTCATTAATTGGTTTGCCATCTCGAGGAGGCTAGGTCTTCTTCTTTCGTTCTACTTCGATACCGCCACATGGACATCTACCCCTAGCTTCACGAGTCCATACTTTTCCCAATCTCAGCAAAGCAAAGATTTAATCGGTCTTTCAAACTTCGTGCTTCCTGTACATACTGTGACCTAACACCCAGCTTAAAGATTAGGCATTACGATTTCTCTCATTAGGCAAAATGCTTTCATCTGGTACTCATTCGATATGGGACGGCTGTGAGTGGCTCAACGCTACAAGTCATCACAAACCATGGTACAACGAGGTCCCGCACATGGAGAGCTTATGAAAACTCTACAAATCTTAATACAAAATGTAGTGTCCCAATAGCAACGTGGATTGCATCCAACCGCCAGGTGAGAGTACGCAGGTACATTCTGCACGTACCTTCAGGACGACTCAGTGAAAGAACCACTGACTACCCTATTACCTGACTCACATCGATCGCGCCTAACTGAACAACTTTACCGACGCACTTGCTTCCCCACTTCACATGTCGTACATCCGAAACAAACATATCATATCATTATGGCGCCGATCCCGATCGCCACCGCCACCGCCCTTCACTCCGCCAATGCGATAACCCGCCCGCTTACCGACAGTAGAGCCAGCGCTTTAATACTTGGACCGGGACTTTACCCTCATTTTGTCAACTGGCAAGCCAACATCGACGACCCCGAACAACAGGCGCTCTACCCGACCTGGCAAGCATGGAAAAAGACCGTATACGCAGTTCAGCAAGAAGGCATCGGCGGTATACCCAGTCCGCCGGTCTTCAAAGCGTTTATGAACACACCGCGCGTTAAAGAGCATTTCCACGGTCGTGACGAAGACCTGTCCCACATCTTCACAGACGTCGACGACGAAGAGGAAGAGAGAGGACCCGGAGACCTCCTCGTTGCGCGCGTCTGCAAACACACCATCCACCCCGGTAACCCATGCGTCAAAATGGAAATTTGTCCAGTCTGCATCATGAAACAATGTCTCGCTTCTCTCGAACGCATCGCCTTTGTCTGGCGCATTGTCGGTGGACCTTATAGGCCGGGTCGAAATGAAGCGGGGGTGCACATTGTTGACCCTGAAGAGTATGCGATATATCTTGCGGTGAAGGGTTTGTGGATTGTGGAGAAAAAGAGGTGGGCGAATTTGGTTGATACGTATGAGGATTTCGCGATGGGAGAGAGGGCATGGGAGGAGGACTCTAGACGGGATGGTCTTGCGGTCCCGGTGGCGGTGACGGAGGCTAGTAGTTGTATTGAAGCGCTGGAACTGGCGGCGCAGAGTCCATTTCTTGGGGAGGGGTGGAGTGATGTCTTCGTCCCGACGAGGCATTTGAGAAAGCGCGGCGAGGGCAATAAACTACGAGACGACTCTGTTAGCAGCGATGAACTGCCATGTTCTCCACCCGAGGCTCCTGAGATGGATTCAGAAACGTCACGGTACTCCAATGGGGCTTCCGATGGGACAGAGGAGGCAGACGGCAGTACCGCAAACTACTACCTCAGAGATCATTCAGATTCGCCCCCTGCCGACCGCGCAGGCGTCCGAGCAGACTCTCCGACCGCCTCTCCCCGATCTAAGACTTCCGCCAGTTCTACCGTGTACACATCTTCACCCCCATCGCCATCCTCTCCACCCCAAAGTCGGTCTTCTTCCTTTGTGCCATCCACTCCCATGATCGGCGTATACTTCCCGGACGACCTCCCCTCTCCCTCCACCCGACGGTCGTTGTGCTATAATCGCACTTCTAAGTCCTATGAGAAAGGCAAACACGCAAGTCCATACGGTACTATCAAGGTCGATACGAGCTTTGCGAACAACTCCGCATACGACGAGTTTGGAGTCGCCGAAGAAGAAGAGCTGAAAATATTGACAGCGGCTCAGGATGAAACTCCTCAAACGGATGAAGACATGAACAAAGGTCGTTTCGCGGGTTTCACAGACGTGGGTCTAGACTCGGAAGATGAGGGGACGGAAAGTGAGTGGAGCGATACTACTGATGAAGGAGATGGAGAGGAAGATCTCATGATGGTTGTGGGTAGGAGCACCGTGGGTGGAAAGCGGCTGCCGGGTCAAACAGGGGAGGTGAATTTCCAACGACCGGTGTTTACGTTTAGTTGGCCAGGCCGGGGAGAAGTGGACGAAGAGGGCGATACGGTCTCTGATACTAGTTCGGATGAGTTTGACGACGATGAGGTGGAAGATGCGATGCGAGATATGAATGATGTGGATGTGGTATCGCTGGCCGAGCCGGATCTCCAGGTGACTCCTCGTCGCCGAAGTCATGACGAATTGATTGAATGTGAGGAAATGGATGAAGAGAAATGCGTCAAGAGATCGCGTCTGTAGGAAAGGCTCCTTTGACCGTTGCAAGCGTTGGATACTGGGAACCCGACTGGAAAGCTATTTATACACACGTATGCGGAAGAGCGTCGTTAGAAATACTATTCATGATCGAAAATTCAACTCTTGCTTGATTGAAGTGTACAAAGTGCCCAACCTACGATGTTGCAGTTATACAGCAACGTACTAGTGTTATTGAGCTGTTTAAGAGCTGACCCCAGGTATTTCAGGTATCCTATAGGTCTTGATAGGTCTCCAAGCCATGGCTTTGAACGAAAGTCTTCTAGAAACGGGTTACGGGGGTTTCCATTTGGGACTCAGATTCCACAAGGTCACACTTTGTAAGTCATGTACTGGCCTGTTGGAGTTCAGCAAGCTGTCGTTACCATTATAGATAGCTACAAGACGCCGTATGATGATCGAGGAGAGTGTGGCATGCCTCGCGCACGGGACATTGCAGGTGTGATGTAAGATACGCGCCTGCTCCAAGATGAGGCTCGTCGGCGGCGGATGTTTGGACCTAGCGCAAGGCGGTGGCCAAAGCGCCCCAGCTCGGAGTGTGGATCTCTACATCACTGACGAGCCGCAACACGACCAAACAACGTCGCCGCCCCATCCCACGCCTTCCCCTCTCACATCCAGTACTAGTACTCGCTGTCTCTACTTAACCTGGGAGATAGCAAATACCCCGACACCCGACAGATAAACCCCACGACCCCGCCACCATGTCTAGCGGAGAAGTGCTCAAGGCCGACAAGGACTTTACCAAGGAGGTCGATGCGGCTATTCCAGAGGCGGAGAAGCTAGCTTCTGTATGTACGATGGCTATTCAAGTTGAAGCGAAGCTAATATAGTTGGTTAGAGCAACCCGCAAGCTGGAATCGACAAGCTGCTCACGCTCGAGAAGCAGACCCGTCAGGTACGCATCCACGTATCCCATGCGCATGAGCATATTCTGACTACTTTCAGGCCTCAGATCTCGCCTCGACTTCCCGCGTCATAATCGCCATCGTCACAATAGCAAAGAATGCGAAGGACTGGAACTTGATGAACGAGCAGGTCCTGCTCCTCTCCAAGAAGCATGGACAGCTGAAGCAGGCCACCACCAAGATGGTGCAGACAGTCATGGGATTCCTGGATGAGACTCCAAACCTAGAGACAAAGCTGTCCGTCATCGAGACGCTACGGACAGTCACAGAGGGCAAGGTAGGCGACCCCAACGAACAACATACAGGCTGTTGCTGACACGATGGTAGATCTTCGTCGAAGTCGAGCGTGCCCGAGTAACCCGCATCTTGTCCAACATCAAGAAGGAGCAAGGCGACATCGATTCCGCGACGGACATCCTTTGCGAGCTGCAAGTCGAGACCTTTGGTTCCATGACCCGTCGCGAGAAGACCGAGTTCATCCTACAACAAGTGGCGCTATGCATACAAAAGGGCGACTGGACACAGGCCGGTATCCTGAGCAGGAAGATCAGCACACGGTACTTTGCGCGGAGACCGAAGAAGACCCCCGAGCAGTTGGAGAAGGACCAGAAGGAGCGGGAAGAGAAGGAGAAGAACCGGAGCGCCGACGACCCGCCCATTGAGCCTGAGGACGATGTAACGGACCTGAAGCTCAAGTACTACGAGCAGCAGATTACCCTGGCCAAGCACGACAACAAGTACCTGGACGTCTGCAAGCACTACCGACAAGTACTGGATACCGAGGCTGTGGAGGAGGACCCCAACAAGCTTCGAGCAGTATGTTCAGAGGCCTGATCACATTTGCAGCTCTTACTAACATAACTGCAGATCCTCCAGCGCGTCATCTACTTCATCATCCTCGCACCGTACGACAACGAACAGTCCGATCTCATCCACCGCATTCAACGCGACTCGCGCAACTCTCAGATCCCACAAGACGCACAATTAGTTAAGCTCTTCACTGTGCCTGAGTTGATGAGGTGGCCCATGGTTGCGAAGCAGTTCGGGCCTCACCTCACGGAGACTGATGTATTCGACGCGGAGAAGGACGACTCGGATGACCCGAAGGCATTCCAGAGGTGGCAGGATCTCCGCAAGCGTGTCATCGAGCACAACGTTCGCGTCGTGGCCAAGTACTACACACGTATTCAGATCCCACGCTTGACAGAGCTGCTAGATCTGACCGAGGATGAGACGGAGAAGAACATTAGCGAGCTGGTGTCTGCAAAGACCATCTACGCCAAGATTGATCGACCCGCCCGCATCGTCACTTTCTCGAAGCCCAGGGACGCAGACGATGTGCTGAACGAATGGAGTGGAAACATGAAGAGTTTGTTGGGTCTGCTCGAGCGCGTTGACCATCTCATCACCAAAGAGGAGATGATGGCGCGTATTCAGCCCACAAAGGTGGATAAGAGCAAGGCGGCCAAGGGCAAGGCGAAATAGGATTCGCGAAGACCCTCAGGTATCGGCAATCGATGCACGAAGTTTGGGCAGCAATTGGTAGTCTAACAACCTTGCAAGGTACAGCACTCACGATGATGATGGACGAGAAGTGGCACGATAGTCTATGAATGAGTGCGTATGCAAGATGACTACGAAGCTCAAGTGTTGACCGATGCGCTGCATAGGTTTACGCTTGACGAGTCGGACTGCTGGTCTGAGCGCATGAAGGAAGAATCAGATAACCTACGCATCTGCTGTAGGATAGTAAAACAAATGAAAGCAACCGCTAGAACAAGAATTTGTCACGAAATATGTGCTTCATATAACACTCTCCGTCGAGCGCTTTTATTGTGACTGATGGACAGCATCTGCGCGTTGCATCTTCTGCCAAGCCACTTAAGTGCCGACGCGGACTAGCGCAACGCGTCCGACGCGTCCCTTCCTTCCCCGGGATTTGGCAGCGACAGCCGTTGAAAGCACTAGACTCTCAATACCTCACTTTGTGCATCCCCATACCACCGCAATCATGGTTCGTGGCGTGGAAGGCAATGAGATGTCGACACCTCGCGCTTCACAGAAGAAGCAGCCCGCCTCCGCGTCGCAATCGGCCAAGGGCCAAAAGTCCATCCTAGGGTTCTTCCAGAAGAAGTCTACCAACTCACCAAGCCCCGCGCCGTCCGATGCCACACCAGTCAATAAGACGCCCACATCAAAATTGGCAAAGAAAGCCTTCGACAAGCCGCCTGTCGCCATCACTCCCGTACCAAGCAGCGACGCTCCCGATTACTCGAGTCCCATCAAACAGGAGCATGAATTGACAGTGGGGAGGAGCAAGGAGAACATACTGGCCAAGCATACAGATGCCATTCCCAGTAGCCCAACACGCAAGGTACGCGAGACATGCCATTGCGTAGCCAACTGCATTTACTGACATTCTAATTCAGGCACGAAAGCCCGTCAACTACGCCGAGTCAGATGACGACGACGAAGATGTGCTGGGTCCAATTGCAAACAATGCAAGAGGCAGAGCTACAAAACGCCAGCGGGTCACCATCGAAGACGATTCAGACGACGAGTTCGGATTAGACGCGGCCACACAGAAGGCAATGCTCGAGGAAGACGACGACGATGTTGATGACTTCGTTGTCCCAGACGATTCCGATGAGGAAGTCGTCTCGAAGAAGCGCAAACGTTCAGCAGCACCCAAGGCTCGTACTAAAACGTCCCCAGCATCGTCACCGCCCATAATCGAAGCAAAGGATGAAGAGGATGATGGAGACGTCGTCATGAATAGCACGTCTACCGCACAACAATGGATCTACGATCCAGAAAATCCGATGGTATTCAAACCTCGCACAGCCGTGCAAGCGACGAAGAAGGACCCCAGCAAGAAGATTAAAGAACGACCGAGCGCTTCTGAACCCGAGACGAGATACTCATGGCTCGCCCATCAGATGGACGCTGACCGGCATCCCGTCGATCATCCCGACTACGATCCTCGCACACTATACATTCCCCCAGGTGCTTGGGACAAGTTTTCTGCGTTCGAGAAGCAGTACTGGGAGATCAAGAGCAAGTGGTGGGATACTGTCGTCTTCTTCAAAAAGGGCAAGTTCTACGAGCTCTATGAGAAGGATGCTTCTATAGGCCATCAGCTCTTCGATCTCAAATTGACTGATCGGGTCAACATGAGGATGGTCGGTGTACCAGAGGCTTCCTTGGACATGTGGGCTACCCAGTTTGTAGCAGCAGGCCACAAGGTTGCTAGAGTTGACCAAATGGAGTCGGCTCTAGGCAAGGAGATGCGTGAACGCGACGACAAAGGCAAGACTCCAAAGAAGGCTGGCAAGGAGAACAAGGTAATCCGAAGAGAGTTAGCTACGGTGCTCACTTCGGGTACACTTGTGGATACGGGCATGCTTCAGAGTGAGATGTCGACATACTGTATGGCCATCAAGGAGATCGATCGCGACAACCTTCCAGCCTTTGGAATCGCGTTCGTAGATACTGCTACTGCCCAGTTTCAGCTCTGCGAGTTCACTGACGACGTCGACATGACCAAGTTCGAAACCCTCATCGCTCAGATGAGGCCAGGTGAACTACTCCTGGAGAAGTCATGCGTCTCTGCGAAAGCCCTGCGAATACTCAAGAATAACACGCCACCCACAACCATCTGGAACTATCTTAAGCCCAACAAAGAGTTCTGGCCAGCCGACATCACCATCCGAGAGATTGAGGCGAATAACTACTTTGAGTCACCCACAGAAGATAACATCGAAGCATGGCCACCGGTCCTCCGCGAAGCCCGGCAGCAAGAGCTGATCATGTCATCGTTTGGTGCTCTCCTACAATACCTGCGAACGCTGATGATTGAGCGCGATCTGGTCACACTCGGAAACTTCCAGTGGTACGACCCCATCAGGAAAGCCACGAGTCTGGTTCTCGACGGCCAGAGCTTGATCAACCTGGAGATTTTCGCCAACACGTTCGATGGATCGACCGAGGGTACTCTGTTCGCTATGCTGAACCGTTGCATTACCCCATTCGGCAAGCGATTACTGCGACAATGGGTCTGTCATCCTCTCGCAGATGCGGCCAAAATCAACGCTCGCCTAGATGCCGTTGATGCACTGAATGCCGATTCTACCATCATGGACAATTTCAGTGCATCCCTTAGCAAGTTGCCAGATCTTGAGCGTCTCATTTCTCGTGTGCACGCGGGCCGATGCAGAGCGCAAGACTTCCTCAAGGTGCTGGAGGGCTTCGAGCAAATCGAATATACCATCAGCCTGTTGAAGCAGTTCAGCGAGGGTGAAGGTATCATTGGTCAGCTCATCTCTTCTATGCCTGACCTGGCTGCGTCTTTGTCTAAATGGAGCTCAGCTTTCGATCGAGACATCGCACGGAAAGAAGGGCTACTCATTCCTGAGCCTGGCATCGAAGAAGACTTTGACAACAGCCAGGAGGAGATCGACACCTGCAAAGCAAATCTCGATGTACTCTTAAAGAAGGCCCGGAAAGAGCTCGGCTCTAACGCTGTTCAATACAACGACATTGGCAAGGAAATCTACCAACTAGAGGTACCCAAGAAGGTCAAAGTTCCAAACAACTGGGACCAAATGTCGGCTACCGCCAAGGTCACTCGATACTACACTCCCGAATTGAGGAAGCTGGTCCGAGCACTACAAGAAGCGCAAGAGACGCATGGTCAGATTACACGCGAAGTTGCAACTCGCTTCTGCCAACGCTTCGATGAGGATTACAAGGTCTGGCTCGCGGCAGTCAAGATCATCGCTCAACTGGATTGCCTGATCAGTCTCGCAAAGGCGTCTGCTTCACTCGGAGAGCCCAGCTGTCGTCCAGTCTTCGAGGAGGGCAATCGAACCGTCGTTGAGCTAGAAGAGCTTCGTCACCCATGCATGCTCAACACAGTCGACGACTTCATTCCCAACGACATTAGACTAGGCGGCGACTCTGCCAACATCAGCCTACTGACTGGTGCCAACGCAGCCGGTAAATCGACTATCCTTCGTATGACTTGCATAGCTGTCATCCTCGCACAAGTCGGTTGTTACCTACCTTGCACATCAGCCAGGCTCACACCTGTCGACCGCATCATGTCCCGTCTCGGAGCCAATGACAACATCTTCGCAGCTCAATCCACCTTCTTTGTCGAGCTGTCCGAAACACAGAAAATCCTTTCCGAAGCCACGCCCCGTTCACTTGTCATTCTCGATGAGCTCGGTCGCGGTACATCTTCTTATGACGGTGTGGCCGTTGCGCAAGCCGTTCTGCACGACATTAGTACGCGCGTTGGCTGCGTGGGTTTCTTCGCCACTCACTACCGTTCTCTAGCTAAGGAGTTCGAGTTCCACCCTGAAGTCGTGAACAAGCGGATGCGTATCCATGTGGATGACGCCTCCAAATCCATCACCTTCCTCTACAAACTCGAAGAGGGTGTCGCGGAGGGCAGTTTCGGTATGCACTGTGCGGCCATGTGCGGTATCCCGAGCAAGGTCATCGAGAACGCAGAGAAGGCGGCTAGAGAGTGGGAGCACACGAGTAGGCTGGGAGAGAGAATGGAAGTCAACAAGGACGAGGGTGGTGTTTACGTGCCGCTGGGTCTACAGAGTGACGTTGCTTGGACTCTCAGGGAGGGCTTGGAGGGAGTCGGTGATCGGGCGCTGGATGTGCTGCTCGAAGCCATTTCTGCGCTCTGAGTGTCTGCTATGTGAGAAAAGCATGTAAGATAGATGTATCGAAGGCGCAACATGGGCGATCGGGAATGGGATGTATTCATATGGGAAAGAGGGATCGGATCTAGGTCAGGCTAGCGTTCTGCTGTAATCATATCCCGTAGTTAGCGTATCGCAAGCCAATTCACACATTCAGAACATCTCGTATCCTGGAGGTGACAATGCCGCAAAACTTGACAGACGACTTGGTTTCGTGGCAGCCTGGAGGTAGTCAGTACATCTCACGATGCCACATATTCTAGGCAGGCCACGTGAAGTACACCAGGCATATATGAAATTTGATGAAAAGACCACAATCACTACGATGTAGTCGTCCGCCCATACCATGAACACGCCATACAAGCCCAAACTTTTCTTCTCATCCCAGCCGTAAACGCACGCAAACGCCATCACCTTCCCATCACTAGCCCTCCATACCCCCCACCTCCTACTCATCCTCCTCCAACTGTACCGTACGGTACCCGTTAGACGCGTTCCGACCCGATCCCTTAGCAGCACCACCAAAGGTCTCAATGCCATCGAGGAAACTATAGCTCATGCCATCGCGACTGGGGACATCTTCCTCAACAAGATCGAAGCCGTCGTCAAAGGCAGGCTCTTCCTTCTTGACTTTGGGTCCACCAAGGCCGAAGTCGTCGTCATCGTCGTCATCATTGTTGCCGTCCGACGCGGAGGAAGTGGGTTGGCGAGCGGCACGGCGCTTGGAAGCTGAGGCGGGAGCAGCGGCAGTGGCGCCTCGCTTTTTGGGGGTGGAGATGGCAGTGGCGGTTCTGGGGCGGCCGGAGCGTGACTTGGGAGCGGGACTGTCCTCGGAGATGCCGGCGGTCTTGTTCTTGAGCTTGCGCTTGATCTTGCCCATGGTGAAGCCCGCGCTGCCCGGGGTGTAGCCTGTTAGGGCGGCGAGCTTGTTCATGTCGACCTGGGTGGGTTAGTTGCTTGTGCTGAATGGGAGGGTGGGTGGGAAGGTATACCTTGGGCTCTTGCTCGAAGCACTGCCATGCTAGGGCGAGGACCTCGTTCTCGCGGGGGGTCAGATCGTCTTTGGCCATGATGGACGTTGGTTGTGCTGGTGTTGGTTGTGTTGATGTGTTTGTAGTTGTTGAAATTGGAGTACCGATGGTAGAGTGGTGGAGGAGTGAAGAAGGGAGAAAGAGACGAGGAGATACGAGCCTTATATGCTGGGCCAGAGCAGCGAGATGGCGACTTTAAGCAGTGAGGAAATTACTTTTCTGTAGCTACTAGTAGTTGTGGTGAGAGTGATAAGAAAAGGTGAAGGAGGGCTGGAAAGCAGCTTCACCTCGCTTTTAGTGGCCCAGTAGATTACTGTGTGGCAGCATATGGTGCAAGTGAGTTTAGCTTAACAAGGACACCACGTGTCTAGGCAGCCATATCCATAGGTGCGAGGCATTTTGCCTGCGCTGGACGTCAAGTGGTATCGTTGAGTTCCCGAAAAGCTTGGCGTGGTTGACGACGAGACTTCTCTGGTTATGCTATCGAAAGTCAAGCTCGATTACCACAGAACATTGCGGATATCTTCCGGTCTATTCTCGAGTCGATTAAAGTTGACGGGGCATAGGCCAGCGTACGAAGAAGCTATATCCTACGTACTTCTTTACCCAGCAATTCGGGTCTCTCCACGTCCAGCTCATCCCTCAAGGCTGCGTATAGCGAATCTCCTAGAATAATGGACAGTCCCAAACTCCAGACCAGCGTGATGGCATAGAAGAAGTTGGCGTTTCCCGATCCTGCGTAAATCCAAAGATGGTAGAAGGCAGGGCCCAAGAACGATGTGTATAAGATAGCGGACGAAGCCAAGAACGTGTAGCGCATGACTGGGATACAGTTAGTATTGCTACATGAGTTTGAAAGAAAGTAACACTCACGAGGGAACAGATGACGGAACATGGGTACCAAGGACAGGTAGAGCGCAGCATCCGCTATGCTCGGGTATGGTGTGAAAATGGCGAACACGCCGGTCAAGCTGCAAGCAACGAACAATGGCTGCTTGTGAAGGCGAATGGTAAGACCTGGCATATACGACGCGGCGTGTAGCCAGAATACGCCGAGAAAGAACTCGCGGAAAGAGTCGAACATCTCGATGAAGAAGTACCACCATAAACCAACATTCGGCGTAAGGTCAGGTAGTAAGAGACGCACACCGTAAGTCGCCGAGAGAAAGTCCCACGAGCCCGTCAAGAACGCAGACCCAGAGAGCAAGACGCCTATTGCGCCCGCGATACCAAGAGTATGGATTGTGACGAAGGATGCGACATCTGGCGCGGCCTTTCTCTTCAAAGTCTTCGCATCATAGAGGAGAACCATGAGCGGGGGGAACAGGAGTATTGGGTGCATGGCGAAGTACGATGCGAAAGCCGTGGCCAGTATGAAGGTGAAGCTGGCCCCTTGGGACGCCTTAGCCATGGCCGTGAGGATGAAGAGGTTAGTGAGGGCCGAGGTGGAGCGCGCGACGCAGGTTAGAACTGTAAAGGGATTGAACAGAAAGCTGGAAGATGTCAGTGTAAATCATACAGAGGGGTGTAGTATTCCTACCCTGCTGCAATAGCCACACTACTCCATCTCAAGTCCTTCCGCGGGGAAGCGAACAGGCGCGTGACTGACGCGAAGCCGCTCTCTGCCACCTGAGCCAGGGCATTTGCGCTTAGTAAGTCGACGATGGTATAGAAGATGTTGGTCGCCAGCGGGGCATGGGCCGGGTTGGGGAAGAGGGAGAAGAGCGGCAGCAGGAGGGGTGCCTGGTGGTATACGCCGCCGTCGTAGGGAGAGACATTGTGGGTGTAGAGGAAGACGCCCTCTTGCACTGGTGGGTGTCAGTAATGCTATACACAGAGCATGCCAGGTACACACATCTCTTGAAGCTCGTCACTGGTGTTGACACCTCGACACGTCCGGCGAGGAGGTCTGGCAGGGCGGGAAAGACAGTGAAGAGGAGCAGGCGCACGGCAGCGGCGGCTGCAAAGAGCAGCATCTTGTGCTGCGTGTCAATGGCCATGGTCACTCTGAGCTATGCACTCATTGGCTCCATGGCGGTTCTCGACACCTCGGCGCTGGAGTTCTGGCAAGATGCATGTCGGTGGACCCTGGTCGCGCTAACGCCGGATCCATGTCTGCTAGTTGGCCGCATCTCTAACTTTTTTGCGCCCGCCAAAAGTTCGACCGTCTGCACCGACAGAATCGCGATTTGATCCTCTCTCTACAATGGCTGGTCGCTCAAAAAAGAAGGGTGCGCATCACCGTCAATCATCGAGAGAATTATTTTGCTAATCCATTTACAGGCACCTCCGGTGCGGCCAAGAACTACATCACCCGCACGCGCGCCGTGAAGAAGCTTCAGATCTCGCTCCCCGACTTCAGACGACTATGCATCTTCAAGGGAATCTACCCCCGTGAGCCGCGCAACAAGAAGAAGGTCTCGAGGGGCTCGACCGCCGGCACCACCTTCTACTACACCAAGGATATCCAGTACCTGCTCCACGAGCCGCTGCTGGCCAAGTTCCGCGAGCACAAGGCTGTCGCAAAGAAGATCGGTCGCGCTCTCGGTCGCGGCGAGTCCGGCGATGCATCGCGCCTCGAGAAGAACCTCATGCCCAAGGTCAAGCTCGACCACATCATCAAAGAGCGCTACCCTACCTTCGTCGACGCCCTGCGCGACCTCGACGATGCCCTCTCCATGCTGTTCCTCTTCGCCAACCTCCCCTCCAGCGACCACGTCCCCGCTAAGACCATCGCCCTTTGCCAGCGACTGACCCGCGAGTTCGAGCACTACGTAATCACCTCCCACGCCCTCCGCAAGTCCTTCCTCTCCATCAAGGGTATCTACTACCAGGCGACAATCCAAGGTCAGGACATTCTCTGGCTGGTACCATACAGGTTCGTTCAGCGAACAGGTGGCGACATCGATTTCAGGATCATGGGCACTTTCGTCGAGTTCTACACGACCCTCCTCGGCTTTGTCAACTACCGCCTCTACACTTCGGTCGGCTTGGTCTACCCTCCCAAGTTCAACGCAAAGAGCGACGAGCAGGGTGGTGAGCTTGCTGCATTCCAGCTTGAGGGCAAGGCCACCGCTACGAACGACGCAAACGGCCACGATGAGAATGGTGCGGTTAACCCCGAGGCACAGGCGATTGCGGACAGGCTTGCAGCTATGCCCGATGCTGAAGAAGAGGAGAGCATCACTGCCGTAGCCAAGGTAGCCAATGAAGACGACGAAGAGGAGGCCAACGACGAGATTGACAAGTTCGAGCCGACTGCGCCCGATGCCGATATCCTGCCCCAGCCCCAAGCAAGCAGCGCCGAAATCGCATCCTTATTCGCGCCCTTCACCTTCTACCTGGCACGAGAGACACCCAGAGCATCGCTCGAGTTCATACTGAAGGCATTCGGCTGCAAGAGAGTGGGTTGGGACGGAACGCTAGGCGATGGCGCTTTCACAACCAACGAGTCGGACCCGAACATCACACATCAGATCGTCGATCGACCTGCGCTTTCCAACGGTGCTCCTGCACAGGAGGACGGTGCTGCTGCTCCCAAGGCCCAATGGCCATACTCGATGATGCCTGGACGCACCTACGTTCAGCCACAGTGGGTATGGGACAGCATAAACCAGGGCAAGCTGTTGCGACCAGACCACTACGCCCCTGGCGCAGATCTGCCTCCCCATCTCAGTCCTTGGGTCAAGCCAAAGAAGGGCGAATACGACCCCAACCTGCCCCTCGCGGCACAACAACCAGAGGGCGAGGCTGAGGCGTTTGAGGACGATGACGAGGAGGCCACTTTCGACGTCGATGGAGACGAAGACATGGACGCCATCGTTGACCGTGAAGGCTCAGTGGAAGTTGGCGAGGGCATGGATGTCGCTGACGACTCTGAAGACGACAGCGATGACGACGAATCAGATGAAGCTGGCGCGGGTGGTGAAGAGTTTGACGGCTTTGACTCCGATGCCGAGTCGGACATCTCAGAAGGAGAGGCTGCCCGTCTTCAGCACCAGCGTGAACTGGAAGCTGAGGCCACTGGCAAGAAGCTCGAGGTCAAGAAGCCGACCAAGAAAGAGGAGAACGCTGTCATCCGCAAAAAGGCAGAGAAGAAGAAGCGCGCTGAAGAGGAGGAGCGCGAGAGGCAAAAGATGATGTTGTCCAACAAGAAGCGCAAGCTGCTTAAGCGTATCGAATACGGAGAGAACAAGCGCGAAAACGAGTCTGAGAACCTGCGCAGAAAGCGTGCGAAGGTTGAGAAGGCCAAGGCTGCTGCTGAGGCCCTGTAGGTTCGAGTATGTGTATATGATGCATCAAAAGCTTAGGCCGGCGTTCTTTGGGCAGGAGTTTGGCGCGCTTAACGAACCTCTATATGCTGCATGTAGTAAATCGATACCTTTTCTGGCTCTACATCATGGCCGTAGCTGTTGCACATCCATCCCCAACCAATCTGCTGTGATCGGCTGGTTGGGACGCACGGACTGGGGCTGCCAGATGCGTGGCGCAGCCATCTTTGACCCAAAGGACATGATGAACACTCGATGACTCAACCAGAGGATATATGAACCATGGCTGCACCCATATTGCACTTGGTCTCTAACGTTCAACTGCAAGCCCATACGATCAATACATGCCCAATCCAACAGCATGTAGCCACGCCCACTAGTCCGCGAATATTGACAATGGTAGACCAGGGCCGCGATCCAAATTCGACCATAGTTGACATCGCAATAACGACAATGCTCAACCTGGACAACAAGACATGAAATAACTCTGCTTTCCTGCGCGTCAGGTTAACTTTCATCACCGTATGTCGACACCACAAGAACACCCTCTTTCGGCTCTTCCCACAAAGACGTCGCAAGAGCACGCAACACGCCGCAGATCAACTCAAACACAAAGAACCAAGTCGAAAAGATGAATCGATAACAAGACCCGCCGTCGTTCTCGATCTGCTCCACGGACAAAAACCTAGATCCACCATCGTCGCCGCTACCTAAAAGCGCAAAGTGCCGAGCCGCTGCCGAATAGCACCACCTTCCGGAAAAATTGTGCATGTCCAATTTTGCTCACTTTAGAACTTTCAGTGGCATAGAAGTTTGAGAAGGTATAGAGACTCTTTCAAGCAGTATGGAAGCGAGGCTGACACAGAAAGACCAACTGGGGTCACTGCTTTCACCTGGGGCAACAGGCTGCGCTGTCACGTGATCGCGCGTTCGCTCCGGCAAGAAGCTTGGTTGCTATTGTGGTATCGAGACAATAGGCTCGGTTGTGGTCACCCAGCTGCTGCTTGGAGTTGGTATCGATCGTGATCTTAGGACTACATCTGCTCCTACTACCCATACGTTTATTTTCCTATACTCGACACAGCGATCTGAAGTCGGCAATACCTCTCATCGGACGTCACGTTCAACATCCAAAAACCAACGTATCCGGCAAAAGGCCACAGAACCTCACATCCTACAACCAGCCATGGCAACGTCACCACCAACCCCCCTCTTCCCCTCCCTCCCCCCAGAACTCCGCAACGAAATATACGCCTACCTCTCCCAACCAACCTCCACCTCCACGCCTACAAACAGCCACCTTCCCCTCGGCCTCAAGACCTTCATCTGCAAACACACAACCACAACCCTCCTCCCCATCCACCACAGCACCCCCAGCCTCCTCTCCCTGGACCCCACCCTCATCCCCGAAAGCCGCGAATACGCCTCCTACCTCCTCTCCAACAGCCTAACTCTCCTCTTCTCCATCCACTTCCGCGGCCGCATAAACACCTTCGTCCCTTCAGACTGGGACAAGAAAATCCAAGCCCCTTTACGCAAACTGGCTAAATCCTTTCCGTGGCTGCGCAAAGTGAGTCGGTATGAAGTGCAGATACTGTGGGAGCCGGTTGATGGGGCGCTGAAGAGTAAAGGGGGGAAGAGGTGTGCGGGGGATGTTTGTGCGGGGTTGGTGAGGGGGGTTACGGGGTTGATAGATGGGGAGGTGGGGAGGAAGAAGGGGTGGTTGGGGGTGGGTGTCAATCTGGATCATGGGTTTGCGGTTGGGAATGCTTTTTCGGACACGAAATTCGGACTGAATAAGTTTCTTGGCGAGGAGTTGGGGTTTAGGAGGGTGGTGAGGGAGGTGAGGAAGACGGGGATTCCGCACCACAGGGGGCCTGAGCCTCTTCATCCGGCTTTTCGTGCGGTGGAGAAGGTGGGCACGCCGGAGGAGAAGAGGTTGATTGTGTTGGGCGAGGGGAGCGTGGGGTGGTCTGACTTAACGAAGGGGCCGCTGGTTGTGAGGAGGACTACGGGCGTGGGGCTGAACGGGTCTACGACGCAGTTGGGTAAAGACGAGATGGACTTCCCCATGTGTCATCTCATGGCGGAATGTGTTAAGATGTAGCGAAGACTACGATGCAACATCAAGATTTCTACGAATGGCTATTGCTCATCCCACTAGCTACCAATAAGTTTGTTCTGGCTGGCGCAGTAACGATGGAAGTCGGTTGCCACATACATAACTACAGACTTTCCAAATTACACTATCTTGCCATCCAACACCCCGTTCCCAGCTCCGAGTACAACTTCTTCCTATGCTCCCCTACTCCGACACTCCCATCTACCTGGCCATCTATCCCACCTCTCTTCTTCCCCTCTCCTCCAACTCCCCTCTCCTCCAACTCCCCATCCACCACTATCCCATCCTCCAATCCTCTTCTTACGCCCAAGCTCCCACCAAGCTCATCAAAAAGGCCCCAAGGAACACAAGCAAACAAGCATACACCCTACGCTTTCCCTTGAGCACCTTCCAACTCTCGTCGCTCAGGAAGTCCTCCGACATGAGTTCCACAAGCGAGGCGAAGACGAGGAATCCAGCCGAGATAGCGTTCATGATACCGACGACGAGGAGACCGACTTCAGAGTCGGGTGAGTACAAAGTGTGTGTTGCTATGCCGATTGCCATGCCGCCGGGTGTGCTGGGTATTATGTTAACGGGACGGAATAGATGTGGATGGAAGGAGGAC